CAGAGACACACAGCTATAATACAAGATACGCTAATGATGTATCATTACCGCAATCTAGGATCGCCATGACACAACACAATAAGATTAATGTGTCGCTTTACAATAACTTTGTTAGATATCATAAGCGGTCCAATATTGAGAAGATGTCTAACAGACAGCTCTCTAGGCTTGTCAAAAACTATTTGTTAAAAAACTGCTTCTATACTGTAAGTGAATATTTAAGTGCATGTGATCCTAGTGATCAGAGATCGTGTGTAGAGCAAGAAGACAGACTCTGTATAACTTTATCTAGTTTGTGACCTCAAACATGTATCTATATGTATAAGTAATCAATAAATGGTATGGTATGGTATTATTATTATTATTATTATAATTATTATAATAATTGTGATTATTAATATTATTATCATTATTATAATTATTATTATTATTATTAATATTATTATTATAATTACTGTAATTATTATTATTATAATAATTATTATTATTATTATTATAATTATTATTATTATTATTATTATTATTGTGATTATTATTATTATTATTATAATCATTGTAATTATTACTATTACAATTATTATTATTAGAATTACTAGGATTATTATATTATAATTATTATTATTATTATTATAGTATTATTATTATTACTATATTATTATAATTATTGTAATTATTACTATTATAATAATAATATAATAATAATATAATATAATAATAATATAATAATAATTATATTATATTATATTGTATTATATATTTATTATATTATGATTATTATTATAATTATGTAATTATTACTATTAATAATAATTATTATTATTATAATGTATTGTAATTATAATTATTATTTTATTATTATTTTAATTATTGTAATTATTATTATCATTATTATTATTATATTATTGTTATTTTGATTATTATTATTATTATTATTATTATTATGGTTATTTTGATTTTTTATTTTATTATTTGAATTATTATTATATAATTATTGTAATTATACTATATAATAATAATAATAATTATTATTATTATTATAATTATTATTATTATTATTATAATTATTGTAATTATTATTATTATAATTATAATTATAATTAATATTATTATTATTATTATTATTATTCCGTTTTCTGTTAGCTATTCTCTGCTACTGCAGGTGGTATCCTCAAACGCGGCATTATACTGCAAGCGTCTGAGTGTGACTATTGGTTTCTCTTTGTCTATGTGGCTCCATTCAGGACCTTGCGTGCTATATGACAACTACCTAAGATGGCAGCTTTCTGAAGTGAGAGGTATAGTTTCTGCGGCAGATTTAGTTTCTCGATATATTTATGTAGACTCTTAGGTATTTCTCCTGTGGCTCCGATCACTATTGGGATGACTTCAACTTTTTCTTGATTCCACAGTGTTTTTACTTCAGCAGCTAGTGTTAAGTACTTGCGAACCTTTTCTGTCTGCTTCTCAGCTATGTTATGTGGGGCAGGCACACTAATGTCAATTATGCAGGTTACTTGCTTCATTTTATCTTGAACTACGATATCTGGTTTGTTGTATTCCATGGTGTGATCTGTTTGAATTGTTCTATTCCAGTATATTTTATGGCTGTTAGTTTCTATAACTGGAGTCGGCTGGTACTTGTAATATGGGGTGCGGTCAGTTAGTATGTTCGCAGCATAACAAATTTCTTGGTGAAATATTTTAGCCACGTTGTCGTGGCGCTTCAGATACTCAGTGGAAGCTAGGGGAGTGCAGCTCGTCAGGATATGCTCTATTGTTTCCGACTTGTTATGGCATATACCCATTATCCCAGTTAGTAATTTGTACAGTACGGATAAACAAGTAATGGGTCTGTAATTTTCTGGCTTAGAAGGGTCTCCTTTCTTGTAGATAAGATACGTGATGCTACTATTCATCCACGTGGGCAGATCTTCTTCTCCTTTTAGTATTTTTGTTAAGATTACCGCTAATGTTTTATGGGTGGCACTTATCTTCTTTAACCAGTAATTATGGATTCTGTCAAGCCCACCGGCTTTCCAGTTGGCAGCTTTACTGAGTACATCCTTTATTTCCTTCTCCGTGATGCTTTCACCGGTCGTCATGCATTCTAGGTGCAGATAACTGTCAATAGTTTCCTTCATCCATTCCGTGTTCTCGTCGATAATTTCCTTCCTGCGCCAGATTTCCGACCAATAGTGTACTACATATGGCTCTCCCGGCACGTCTTGCGGTGTCTCAGCTTTTCCATTAAGTTCTTGGTATAACCTTCTGGTGTCATATTGGAATAAATAATTCTGTCTGCAGAATGCGACTCTTTTATTATACCGGTTTCTACGTTGGGTGTAAGCCTGTATCTTTTGTTTTAGTTGTTCCTCTACTCTTACCCGGTCTTCTAAATTGTTTATGCTGTATCGACATTTCAATTGTTCTAATTTTCTTCTTGTTGCATTTCTCAATTTTGAGTTAGCTTCTTCATGGAGGATTGAGAGATCGGATCTGAGTTTTGTGATCTTGGCCTCTATTCGCTTCTCCCAGGGGGCAGAAGTCTCGGTGTATCTATTTTGTAGGTGTCTGATTGGTTCTTCAGTTAAGTTTCGATGTGGGCTTACTTTCATTGTTACTATTTTTGCTGTCGCATACAATAGGTGGTTAACCTCCGTAATATTTTCAATCAGTGTTTCTTCCAAGATTTGTGAAACTGCTTCGTTTGCTTGTTTTACTATCACCTTTAGTTTCATGTTATCTTGGAGTTTTGGTAGTTTCAGTCTCTCGTTTATGGGTGAAGATTTCGTAGAAACGTATTCTTCGAGAATCTCCTGTTTGATAGTATTATCTGTTTGATTTTCACTCATATCTTCTGTATCCGGCTCAGTTGTCACTGAGTCCAACTCACGTTGCTCTCTCACTTCGATCCGTATTGCTTCGCTTACTTTACTTTTCATCGCTCTTATCATATTTTCATTAAATTTTCCGCTGTTCAGTAGATATCTGCGCTGCGTTGCGAGTTTCTTGGAATCCATGTATGGTCTGCTATTAGGATTCCTACTTCTCCACATGTTATAAACCTCTGCTTCGCCTATTGATTGCTTTGCATTGGTATAGTAGTAACACCACATCAGTTCGTTAATTTCTTCATAACTCCAAGGCCTTTTATTATTATTATTATTATTATTATTATTATTATAATTATTGTAATTATTATAATTATATTATTATTTTGATTATTATTATTATTATTGTGATTATTATTATTATTATTATTATTATAATTATTATTATGATTATTATTATTATTATTATAACTATTGTAATTATTATTATTATAATTATTATAATTATTATTATTATTCTGATTATTATTATTATTATTATTATTATTATAATTATGATTATTATTGTTATAACTATTATTATTATTATTATTATTATCATTATTATTATTATTATAATTATTGTAATTATTATTATTATAATTATTATTATTTTGATTATTATTATTATTATTATTATTATCATTATAATTTATGATTATTATTATTATTATAATTGTTGTAACTATTACTATTATAGTAATAATTATTAATTATTATTATATAATTATATTATTATTATTATTACAATTATTATTATTATTATTATTATTATTATTATTATAATTATTATAATAATTGTAATTATTATTAGTACTATTATTATAATTATTGTAATTATTATTATTATTATTATCATTATTATTATTAGTATTATTCTTATTATTATTATTATTACTCATTATTATTATTACTATAATTATGATATTATTATAATTATTGTAATTATTACAATTATAATATTATTATTATTATTATAAATTATATTATTTATTATCATTATAATAATTATTATTAATATTATTAGAATTATTGGTAATATTATTATTATTATTATTATTTGTTATATTATTATTATTATAATTATGATTATTAAAATTATTATTATTATTATAATTATTATTATTATTATTATTATAATTATTGTAATTATTATTATAATAATTATTATTATTATAGATATTATTATTACTATTATAATTATTAATATTATTATAATTATTATTATTATTATTATAATTATTGTAATTATTATAATTATTATTATTATTTTGATTATTATTATTATTATTGTGATTATTATTATTATTATAATTATTGTAATTATTATTATTATAATTATTATTATTATTATTATTATTATTATTATTATTATTCTGATTATTATTATTATTATTGTAATTATTATTATTATTATGATTATTATTATTATTATAATTATGATTATTATGATTATAATTATTGTAATTATTACTATTATAATTATTATTATTATTATTATTATTATTATAATTCTATGGTGCGTGGGTAAACAAATATAAGTCAAAAAAGCACAAGCTGAGAAAATCGCTATTTTTGTTTTACAGTCAGTAATTTTCACCTTGTTTCGCTTATTGCTTTGATAATGTAAACAAAATATTTTGTCTGCGTCTTTATTTAATAACAATATCTCTGACTGTTACAAGTTCTGCTTCAAAAAATGCAATATACCTAAAAAAAGGAGACTTATACTATTTCGAGTAACACAAACATTCAACTTATACTGTTCTACACTAACCAATACCTACTTATGCTTCTAGGAGCAGTACATCAGATGACTTATGAGTAGTATATCTATAGGCGTTCCCGACCACCTAAAATAGCATGTGAAATTGTACCGTAAAACTTATAGGCGTTCCCGACCACTACACGTTCTGGACCAAAGTACGTTCTAGACCAGTCACTCTAGACCAAATTACAAAAAAAAAAACCGTCGTTTTTCAACGCCTTTTTGCCACCATCCCCCTTAGTCGCGCGCGCGCGTGCGCATGCGCATGGGGCTCGTTCTGGCGAGCGTACTACTGGGGGTAGGTGAGGAGGGGGTGTAGATAGCAGAGAATAAACGATACGCTGTAAGGAGTTTATCTATCTTTATTTGTTTTTCTCACAGTTACACGTTGTTTTGAATTTAATTGTTTTATATAATAATTCCCCTTTGTCATTATAATGTACCTGTATAGTTATGTTTTTTGTTGGTTGGTTTGGTAGGGCTGACGCTTTTTCCCTTTTATTGCAATGGCAACTTTGTTTTTGTTGTATGTTTTTGGTGGTGGTGGTGGTGGTGGTGGTGGTGGTGGATGGTCCGGGTGCCGTTGATGCAGGTGCCTCCGGAGATGGAGTAGATTCTATTGATTCGGAGCAAATCAGAGAGTTGTCTTCTTCTTCTTCTGAAAGTATGTGATAATTGATGGACTCTGGACAAAAGCAGAAGTGTTTTTGACATTTTAGGCAGTATGCTGTACCGTACTGTGACATTATAACAAATAATGAAAATAATCAAGCTACAACTATATATATATAATTTGAATAGTGAGTATCGTTTGGTTTGTTTTTTTTTTTTAGAAGGAAGAGATACATAGTGATAAATTCTTCAATTGAAAACTACTGGGCTATATTTTTCTGAAGAATATATAGGAAAACAAGCCTATGCATAAGCCATCTGACTCATCTCACGTTTTGTGGTAAATTATTGCATCTATAATTACTATTACTCATCGGTTTTTTACCAATCTATATGCAATAATTTACCATAAAACGTGAGATGTGTCAGATGGCTTATGCATAGACTTGTTTTCCTATTTATTCTTCAGAAAATATGACCCGCTAGTTTTCAGTTGAAGAATTTATTACTATGCATCTCTTCCTTCTAATAAAAAACAAACCAAACGATACTCACGTTTTGTGGTAAATTATTGCATATAGATTGGTAAAACCCGATGAATAATAGTAATTATAGATGCATTATGAAATTCGCAGAACAATGCATCTATGATGATCTCAATAGTCAACACGTCATTTTCAGTGCGCATATAAAATGGAATTGCTCAAATGCGGTGCATACAGTTAATGATTAGCAATAGATGCAGTTGCAGCTTATTTACATACAGGCTTGTAAAGTGCATGTGAAGTGATTGGAAATAATTTCTGGTAAGTTTTAGTTTTTAACATTGATACAATATTGAAAACAGTACAGTCTGTATTGTGTATCTAATAAATTCCAACAATGCTAGTATTTTAATTTTGTTTTGATTTATTCATGTGACATGTTTCAGTTTTGAGCTTTCGTATTTATATATAGTAAAATACTTTTTGATGTATTGAAAGAGCAAATAGTTAGATGAATGCTAATATATTGATTTTATGTTAACTTCTTGGTAACTTCTATTATTCACAATTTTTTATTTATTTTAGATAAACATGGACTTAAGCAAGATAAATGAAATTGCAGCTACGAGCTACACGAGTAAGCCGAAAAAGAGCCTGTACGAGCTACCGCTTAACCAATACCAGACTGTACTTTCAATAAGAATCGTACAAGGACGTTTTGGTCAGGTGCCGTTGGTGGAGCTACAAAATTTTGTAGTGTTTCTACCAGGGAGAGCGACGGAAGTGATCATCGAAAACTTAGAAAATTTCACTCCGGGACGTTACGCAATTGCGTATACAGGCAGCGTGCCCAGCTCTTTCGGGGATAATCAAGTTCACCATTTTAAGCTTAAGGATCTACACGAATAAGTAAGAACACTTGTATTATAGGCTAATATTGTTATTCTCAAGGTAAAGTAATATTGATTTGTTTTACATGAAATTCAATGGACCTTTCAGAACCATTCAGTGAATCAGTCAAAAATACTGTTAAGATTTTTAAAAAAGCTTATGAAACTCTTACTGAAAAAAAAATGCTTCTGAATCAGATAAAAAACGCTGGATAAAACTGATTAATGAAAATTTAATAATTTTTCACAAAGCTCTTAAAAATAAATATATTAGTGTTAATACACGAAAAGCTGTTCATACTGGTGTGGTACACTTGAAAAGATATAAATTTTTATTAGAGTCCTTTCATGTAGGTCGTGGTACATTTAGTACGCCAAAAAGGGTTGTATGGGAAGATACTGAGTCAACCTTTGTTAGTCGAATTCATACTGGTGTTATTATAAATTTAAAACATGTTGATATACATGATTTTTTCCTTGATGCGTTCAATCTATTCGAGCATCAAATACAAAATAAATTGTCCGTAATGTCCATTTTGAAAGTAAATGGGACCTTTTGTGGTGAATTTATTAAGTCTTCGAATGGTACAGATATCAGTGATTTTAAATATTTCAATACCAGAAATGCTATCATTGATCAAAGTACAAATTTACAACAATGGTACAAAGATAACATTGTTGATAAAATTTTGAACAAGCTATCAGAATTTCAAGAAAGATTGAGTGGCTGGTCGTTATTAAAGATTATCTCTTTAGAAATTAATATAAATAAAGTGGAATTTGGTAACGTAAGTTCATCATACGTGAAATTACCTACTCAAATTGCTCGGAAAAAGGCGTGTATCAATATAAAAAATCATAATGATAATGCATGCTTTGCCTGGTCTATAATAAGTGCCCTTTATTCTGCTAAACGTCATACTGATAGAACCTCGTCCTATCCTCGTTATACGGAAGTTCTTAACTTAGAAGGGTTGGAAATGCCCGTTCGCTTAATAGATATAAGTAAGTTCGAGGAAATGAATAAAATTTCTGTTAATGTTTTTGGAGCTGAGTTGATTGTACAGGAGAGTAAATCTTTTTATAACATTGTACCATTAAGACTCACTCAAAAAAAACTGTTAAAACATGTCAACCTGTTAATGATACAGAACAAATATTATCCCAAATTAAATGATTTCGAACCGTTACCATTGGAAAATGATGATTTTAACACAGATGATGATGATTTTGAAATTACTTATCATTACGTGTATATTAAAAATCTTGCTCGTTTAGTAAGCTATCAATTAAGTAAGGCTCACAGTAAGAAATGGATTTGTGATAGATGTCTTCAATACTTCCATACAGAGAAGCAGCTACATGAACATGAAATCCACTGTCAAAAATTGAACGATTACAAAATATCATTTCCTAAAGACACTATCCTAAAATTTAAGAACTTCCGATATGCGGAGAAAGTACCTTTTATAATTTACGCTGACTTTGAATCAATGTTACTACCATTCAGTGAAACTAACAAAAAATCAACATTGTCGCATATGATCAAGTATCAAAAACATGAAGCATTCAGCGCCGGTTATTATTTCAAGTGCAGTTACGATGATTCATTATCATTTTATAAATCCTATCGCGGTATAGATTGTATACAGTGGTTTTCAAAAGAAATGGAGGAAATGTCAAAGTTTGTTCAGTCAAAACTTCAATTTGTTGTTCCAATGAATACATACGTTGATTTTAAAAATGTTAGTTCGCATTGTCATATATGTAAGAAACCATTCAAAGCTGACTCTAAAATTGTAAGGGACCACTGTCATCTGAGTGGTGATTTTCGGGGATTTGCTCATTCTAGATGTAATTTAAATTATAAAAACTCATTCATAGTTCCAGTTGTGCTTCATAATTTGAGCGGTTATGATTCTCATTTTATAATTAAGGACATTGCAAAATCTAATCGAGTTGTTTTGCTTCCATTAAATAAGCAAAAATATATTTCATTCACTATCCGAAACAATGTATCCGATATTGCGTTCCGTTTCATAGATTCCTTTAGATTTTTGGCTGCATCTTTGGATAAACTTGTTAATTTGTTAGATATCGGAGCTTTACACATATTAAAAAAAGAGTTTGGACACTTGAACGATGAAAAGTTTGAGTTGCTAACAAAAAAAGGTGTATTTCCATACGATTATGTTGACTCATGGCAAAAGTTGAATGAAACAGAACTACCTACACATGAACTATTTTACAATAGACTAAATGACACAAACGTTAGCAATAACGAGTACCAACGTGCTAAAGATGTGTGGACCAATTTCGAAATTCAGAACATCGGACAATATAGTGATCTTTATTTGAAAACAGACATTATTTTATTAGCAGACGTTTTTGAAAATTTTAGACAAACTGCTCATAGGACGCACGGTTTAGATCCTGCATGGTATTATACCCTACCAGGTTATACATTTGATTGTATGCTACGCTATACCGGATGTAAGATTGAAATTTTAAAAAATGTTGATATGCTATTATTTGTAGAACGTGGCATACGCGGAGGAATCTCTCAATGTTGTAATAGGTATTCAAAGGCTAATAACAAATATCTACCGGATTATGATAGCTCTGCACCATCAACGTTTATCATTTATTTGGATGTTAATGCATTATACGCATTTGCTATGACTCAGTATCTTCCTTATGCAGGGTTTGCTTGGATGGAAAATGTTGATACGTTGAATGTACATGATATTGCAGATGATGCAGATATTGGTTACATACTCGAAGTAGACCTTGAGTATCCAAAGTATTTGCACGATGAACATAAAGATTTTCCGCTATGTCCAGAGCATCGAGTACCAACAGGTTCAAAATTATCAAAATTAATGACAACTCTCTACGATAAAACAAATTACATAATTCATTATAGAAATTTAAAACAAGCTTTAGCACATGGCTTAGTTTTGAAAAAAGTACACCGCATTTTGCAATTTAAGCAAGCTGCTTGGATGAAACCTTACGTAGAGATGAATACAAAATTACGTATGCTAGCTACAAATGATTTTGACAAAACCTTGTATAAAGACCTTGTCAACTCCTGTTTTGGAAAATGTATGGAAAATGTTCGAAAGCATCGTCTAGTCCGTATCACTAACAAATGGGAAGGTCGGTATGGTGCAAGGAAACTAATAGCCAGCCCCAATTTTCATAGCAGTAGTCTTTGATGATAATCTCGTAGCGATTGAAATGAAAAAACCGAACTTCTCTTCAACAAGCCCCTATATATTGGAATGACGATTTTGGACATTTCCAAAGTATGCTTATATGACTTTCACTATAATTACATGTTGAAAAAATTCCCATTAAATACGTGTAAGACCCTGTATATGGACACAGACTCGATGACGTATGAGGTAAAATGTTCAGATTTTTATATAGACGTAATCAAACAAGATTGTTTTCAATATTTTGATACCAGCGATTATCCAACAGATAATGTGTATAACATACCGTTGGTTAATAAAAAGGTTCCGGGAATTATGAAGGATGAATATAAAGGTATACCGTTAACCGAATTCGTTGGTCTCAGATCAAAAATGTACTCTATAAAACGATTAACAACGCCTAAGGAAATAGAAGATATGCGGTTGAGTCTGCTTGAAAGTGGTTATACTGGAGATACTGCGGAAATTATCATGTCAAATATAGGTGTTACTAAGAAAATCAAAGGAGTCAAAAAATCTGTAGTTGATGCGAAAGTAACATTTGATTGTTACTTGAACTGTTTGAAAAATTTAGAAGTGCAGTCATTTAATCAGAATTTAATCAGATCTGAGAATCATAATATTTTTTCAATTACGCAGTTGAAAAAAGCTCTCAGTCCATACGATGATAAACGTTATTTAATCAAAAACAGTCATGATACTTTACCTTGGGGACATTATAGCATAGCATCAAACGAAGAAATGTAACATGTACAATTTTATTTTAGGTATGATAAGTCTTAGAGAATTATCACTTAAAAAAGTTGCAGAATGTGTAAAATCAATCGTTACTTTTACTAATGTGTCACCATTACCATGGACACTAACTGTGGAAGTTATCAAGTGTTATGCGAATTTTAAATGGACAAAAATATTGCTTGAAGCACACGATAATCCTTTAACAGATATTTTAATTATACAAGCAGTGGAGCATACAAGGGAAATACCTAGTGAAACCCATAGGAAGGCACTTTTATGTCAAGCAAATTTTGAAGACATATATATTTTTCCAAAGTATTGTGTTTGGGTTAACATTTGTTACATTCCAGAATATAATTTAAGATTATGTTGGGGTTGCTGTAACGCATTTATGGTAGTATTAGGCCTCTGGAATAAAAAAAGACCTACTGTTCTTCGAGACCATTATCATATAACATTACAGGTTCAAGAAATTCATCGCTTATACAGATCTACAAATATGTACTGTCAAAATGACTTTTTGGAACTATTGTTGGGTTTGAAAGACGAATATACTTGTGTAAATGACCTACATAACATCGATCATTATAATAATAATCACCCATATGTTACGAGATTTGTAGATTCTGGTAACGATGATTCCGACATTGACTTTTAAGAATGTATGTAAATGTGCTTGCATATACTGCTAAACATTGACTGTATCATAAAATATATGTAACGAAAATAAAAATACGTTTTGCAATATGTCTGTATGTTTCCTTACCCCTTCCTATAATAAAAAACAAATAAAATTTTCTTACAAAACCGTTTATTTAATCAAAGCTGCTTCATACACAGATAATTTACTAGCTAAATCACTTAAGAGCTTATTTTTATAGTACAGTAAGCATTCTCGTACACAATAACTTTCTATGTTATCATTACATACGTCACAAAAGGATCTTATTACAAGTTCATAATTTCTTTCCTGAGTTTGTAGTACTACGTTACAAACAATCTCTAAAAAGTTTTGATAAAATTGTTGGAAGTTCATTTTATATAAAGCACCTACTTTATATTTGATAATATTTTCATCAATATGGAGTATATCATTTATCACATTATGTGATAGATAAAAGCAGGCCCTACTTGTGTAAACTTTTAAAATTTTACAATCTAAAGTTGACGTTTTGCATATTTTCACATCTTCATCACATTCAATATGTTTAATGTCCTCTTCTTTGGATGTTGTAATGCATGGTACTTCATTGTCCGATAAATAACTGATGTCCAGACATCGTAAGGTGAAAATAAAAAGTTCCCATTCGTCAGCACGGAATGTGATTTGAGTTCCTATTTCTGATTTTTTCATCAATTTTACTGATGGTGCGAAACACCTTGCAATACTCAAGCCACAATGGATACTTAACGGACTACAATCAGCAGTTACATAATCTGTACCCAATAAGTAAGGTGTTTTTTCTTGAAGAATTTGGTGTTTGCACTCCTTGTTTATTTTTTCTATTTCAGTCCAATAGTACGAATCAATATCCTTGCAGTAATTCTCAATTTCTGATTGATAGTTTTCACTATCTGATTCTTCATCTTCTATGTCTTTACGGCAGAACATCTTTCTGAATATTGACGGGAAGAGCAAATGATAACACTACTATATATCAATCTATCTCCCCACCACAATTTTTAAATATTATAAACGATTAGATGAGTTTATCCAACTGTTATGAGAACTATCAAAGCCAAGCCATTTCACGTAAACTTTATTATTTTTCTTTCTTAATACCTTCTCAACGAAATAAACATCTGGAATGGATGTTTTTTGTAATTCCTCATTGTAAAATCCCCCGAAATCGGATTTCCACGTAAATCTTCCAGCAAATACGTTGTAGGATTAGTTATTTGAACTTTTGATATTTTAAATACCTCAGTTGTCCAATTCGGCAAATATCCTTTATTAAACAAATGCTTTTCTTTGGAGATTCTAACCAAGTTTCCAACTTTCAATTTTCTATTTCCAGCCATTTTGATATGACTGTACACATTATTCAAAATATCATTTTCATTAGTTTTATTAACTTCAGATGGCCTTAAACCAATTGTACGATGCTTATGATTATTATACATATCAACTAAGTCAAATAAAATATCATACCATCGATATGATCCATTAAGAGTAAAATGCTTAAATATTTTTTCTTTCAAAGTTCGTATTAATCGTTCTGCAATGGCTGCCTTTTTTGTACTGAAGGTGCTGTAATTGACCATGTTACAGTTATCTCTTATCAACTGCTTGGGAATCTTCGAGTATGTTTGACATAAGTAAAAACAATCAATATTTTTATGTCGTCCCATGGAAAAATAATCTCTGATCTTATCCTGTTTCGTAGTTGCAACGTCATCAAATACAAAAATTGAATGTTCATTAGCGCACGATGGATCAACTATTTCTGTTTCATTGTCACTAAATGGAAAATATTGTATACCTTTAACTTTCTCAAGAACACTTCTAAGTAGCTGATATTTTGGTTGATATAAGGATTTGGAGTAAATGTATACATTTTTGAATTTCAAACCGTTTGGATGAAATAAAAGTGATAATACAGCATTGGTCTTTCCAGAACCACTTACCCCGCAAACTGCGCAACGAATATTATTAGGTAGCAACTTACTGTGTTTGAATTTTAAGGGTACAGGTGTAACGGTGCAATAATCTAAATTTTGTGTGGGTAATAAGATTTGTTGTTTAACGAGACGCATCTTGTCAATGAGTGAATGGTTGTAGACGGATATATATATATATATAGTAGAGATCACTAAACATTAACCTTATTAATTGGTTTGATCTCACACCATCAACACCTATTAAACGTTATAGAGCAGTCTCAACAAATTGTTATCTAACCTACAGTGAAAGCAATGAAGATTAAACGTAACGTAGGTATGGATTCGGGTGCAACTAAGAAAAATGGAATAAAAAAACTCAAGTCCATTTCCTTTTACCGGGATATATTGAAAAAAATAAAGCTACCTCATAGTGACAATGAAGCGGATTTGAATAAATCTGCACTGACTGCGTTACGCGCAGCCCGCGTAGCTATTAAACGTGCCGGTGGGCGACGAAAAAGTAAATATTCCTAGAATTATACCGATACCAAAGACAGGTGGCATTTTACCAATTCTACCTATACTGGGAGCATTAGGGGCATTGGGTTCACTTACAGGTGGAGCTGCTGCGGTTGCAAAAACTGCTATCGACGTTAAGAACGCCAAAAAACAATTGGCAGAAGCAGAGCGACATAACAGAACAATCGAAGCTATTGCACTAGGTAAACGAGGATCTGGCTTGTATCTACATAAAAATAAGCATGGTGGTATGGGTTTATTCCTGGAAAAACAATCATCTGGAAGTGGTTTATACGTCAAAAAACAGAAATCAAAAAACTACCAGTAAAGCTACCCAATAGAGCGCTTTCCGATCATGATATTTTGAGATACGCGAAACTGCTCAACATAAAGCATTTTAAAAATGTATATATGAGGGATACCCTACCGAGCACGAAACCAAAAAATAACGAGTGTGCAATTATCAATCTAGATCTTAGTGCTAATGCTGGTACTCATTGGGTAGCATACAGGAAGATAGGTAAAGTAGTTAATTATTTTGATAGTTTTGGAAATTTAAAACCTCCTCTTGAGCTAATTCGATACCTTGGTACTGGTGTGAAAATACTTTATAATCATCAACCTTACCAAACATTTGATCAGTTCAATTGCGGACATTTGTGTTTAGAATTTTTATATAAAACTCAATGATTCAACAACCTTTGTATCATTATGTCACAGTTAATCACTCTGAGAAGTCGCTCTTCAGTACTATCCATTGATTTTATCAATCCAATTGAACTCGAACCTCATTCACTTTACGGAATTGCTTTGATTGGCTTTCATTCATACAACACAATCCCAAACATAGAAGAAGGTGCCAATAAATTTTATTTCCATAACAAGAAAGACAACAAAGTGAAAACAATAACAATTCCAACAGGTGTATACGAAATAGGTGACATCGAACAGTATCTCAATACTCATACAGAAACACTGGAAAAAATACCACCGTTTTCACTCAAACCGAACAATAATACTCTCAAGTGCGAATTGTTTAGTAATCAATACGTTATAGATTTCAAGCACGAAGATAGTATTGGAAGAATCCTTGGATTTTCAAAAAAAGTACTAGATACCGGTATTCTTCATTCGTCCGATCTACCAGTGAAAATAGTTAAAGTGATTACTGTACACATTGACTGTAATATTACAACAGGTTCATTCTATAACAGCGAACCGTCACACGCAATTTTTGAATTTTCCATTGACGTAGATGCTGGTTATGCTATAGACATTCAACCTCGTAACTTGATATATTTACCTGTATCCGAAACACATACTATCAATAACATTAGTTTACGTATATTAGACCAAAACGGAGAGCTTGTTAACTTTAGAGGGGAAGAGATAATTGTTAGACTGGAACTTAAAAAATTAACTTAAAATGGGATTACCTATTACCTCCAATAGTAACACATATAAAAAGAACAAGTTTGCAACTTATGATTCAGTCTTTCGTAATCATCTTATGAAGGCAAGTCATCCTTCAACTAAAGCACTAACACCTACAAACGTTTTGTTTTTAAAATCTTTGGGATACAATGTTGTCAGTCCATCATATATTCGAAAATCCATCGTTCGATAACTCTGTAATAAAAGAAGAATACCGTACATATTATCCATTTGTAAAATCTTTTGATAATAATGATGAAATTGAAATAACTATTTATCAACAAGATGCCTGGTTAGCGATGTATGAAGCTGCTATCTGTATAGATGGTAAGGTGTTACTAAAAAGTAATTCTACTACCGCTTCAGCTAAAGTAGAATTAGTCAATAACACTGGTGCTTTTATGTTCGATTCAATTTCATATGAATTGAATGGAAAAGAACTAGATCGTGTACGTGATCCTGGTATTGTGAGCATGATAAGAGGTTATTTATGTTACAATCCTAACGATAGTAACCATATGGCTATAGCTGGATGGAATTTTCCATCCAATGCAATTTTGAATGCGGATATGACGTTTTCATTTCGCATACCCTTATGGCATCTTCTCGGTTTTTTTCTTGATTATAGAAAACCAATGTTTGGAAGGCATACTATACGTTTGGTTCGTTCCAGATACGATCATAATTGTCTAAAGGTCATTGGTGACGCAACGGCTACCATTCAGATAAATTCTATTGAACTTAAAGTTAAACACATATTTCTAAATGATGCGCTAAAATTGGATGTACTTAAAAAGATAAAGAATGATACTTCTATACTTGTGGGTTATAGAAAGTGGTCAATACATGAATTACCATCCTTACCTCATAATGCCACGAAAACTATATGGTCAGTAAAGACAAGTTCAGCTATAGAAGTTCCAAGATTTGTTATTGTTGCCTTTCAAACAGCTAGAAAAGATGTAGCAAAAGCGGATAAGCACATATTAGATAACGCAAATCTTACAAACATAAAGTTAATGATTAATTCGGACTATTATCCTCATGAAGATATGAAGTTAGATTTTAAAAATAATAAATATATGGAAGCTCATCATATGTATTCGCAATTTGCCAAAACGTATTCAAATGATAACGATAAACACGGATTACTTGACTATTCTACATTCAAAACTCATGCTTTATTTGTTATTGATTGTTCCAAGCGAAGCGAAGATTTAAAGTCGTCCACCGTTGATGTAAAACTAGAATTTGAATCTGCTGAAGGTTTTCCCGCTGATACTAGAACTTACTGTATTATTATTCATGATTCTGTGATAGAGTATTTACCGCTAAGCGAAATTGTTCGGAAACTAATTTAAATGTAACATACTAGCAGTCGAAGCTCTCAGTCAGTCGTGGTGCGTAGTACTAGAATTATCTTAATCGGTTACGCAATGAAAATAGCAGCAGTAGATGTTCAAGGTTTTCAACTTTCAAACGGGTTTTTAGCTAAAGAATTAGCGATTTCAATTAGTAACCAGATAACCCACTATATTTTTAAACCATTGACGCCGTTTTGTTTCTTAAATACAAACGATAAAGTGCAAGTGCGATGGCTGGAAAAAAATTATCATGGTTTGAAATATTCCTCTGGATTCTTGGAACAGCACCAATTGAAGGATATCATCAAGTCGCATTTATCAGACGTTGATTTTGTATACGTTAAAGGACATCAAAAACTAGTTTTGTTATCTTCCCTTCGCGATGAGGAATTCCAACCAGAAATCATAAACTTAGAAGATGTACTCCAGACCAGTCTAGATGTGTTGAACTTCAATAAAAATAAACCACGATGTCTACATCACAGTTTGAGACTATGTATGTGTGCTTTAAGGAACTGTGCTGAGCTTCAAGAGTGGCTTCTTGCGTTAACGAGAAAATAGTTGTCAGTCATCCTTGCAACAAGATGGACCACACTACAGTAGCCGCTTCAATAGATGCCTATCTGAGAAAATTACATAACCTCAAAAAGTGTATTGAGGAATATGAACAAAAACAAAAAATGATTGTTAG